CCAACGGTTACAGACACACACACACACACACACACACACACACACACACACACACAGACAGACACAGACAGACACACACAGACCGTTCAACACATTTAGAGCAAATCAAAAGTAATTAATCGTACAGGTCCAGCTTGACATGTTTTTGCAAAAGAAAGTTAGAAGTCGCCGGGATCAATTGGAAACAGATCCTTGGAAACTCTGCGAGGAATCGGAAGGTGTCTGCTGCAGCTTCTCGTAATGTTTCTAGAGGCAGAGAAGTGGAGCAAAGGGTGTGTCTAAGATCAGATGGACTAGATCAAACGGCAACAGGGTGAGAGTGAAAAACAGGACGGCACAGATTCACACAACATGAAAGATTAGTACAATTAAAGATAACAGTTAAATGATATACAGGTAAGTAACTTCTAAAATAAGAAATGAATATTGAGAGTGTGTGTGTGTGTGTGTGTGTGTGTGTGTGTGTGTGTGTGTGTGTGTGTGTGTGTGTGTGTGTGTGTGTGTGTGTGTGTGTGTGTGTGTGTGTGTGTGTGTGTGTACGTACCTGCAGGTTGTCGTAGTGTCTCTGGCTGCCGCAGTGTCGGTCCCGGGCCGTACTCTCGTTCAGGTAGAACATCGAGCAGAGGTTACAGAAATATCCAGATTTAGGGACGACAAACTGCTGACCTGCAGGGGGAGACAAAGAGGGTGAGACAGTGAGGGGGAGTCAGAGAGAGTGAGACAGTGAGAGTGAGACAGTGAGAGGGAGACAGAGAGAGTGAGACAGAGAGAGTGAGACAGAGAGAGGGAGACAGAGAGAGTGAGACAGAGAGAGTGGGACAGTGAGAGGGAGACAGAGAGAGGGAGACAGTGAGAGGGAGACAGTGAGAGGGAGACAGTGAGAGTGAGACAGAGAGAGTGTGAGAGTGAGACAGAGAGAGGGAGACAGAGAGAGGGAGACAGTGAGAGTGAGACAGTGAGAGGGAGACAGAGAGAGTGAGACATAGAGAGTGGGACAGTGAGAGGGAGACAGAGAGAGGGAGACAGAGAGAGGGAGACAGAGAGACAGTGAGAGGGAGACAGAGAGAGTGAGACAGAGAGAGTGGGACAGAGAGAGTGGGACAGTGAGAGTGAGACAGTGAGAGGGAGACAGAGAGACAGTGAGACAGAGAGAGGGAGACAGAGAGAGTGAGACAGTGAGAGTGAGACAGAGAGTGGGACAGTGAGAGTGAGACAGAGAGAGGGAGACAGAGAGAGTGGGACAGAGAGAGTGGGACAGTGAGAGTGAGACAGTGAGAGGGAGACAGAGAGAGGGAGACAGTGAGAGTGAGACAGAGAGAGTGAGACAGAGAGAGTGGGACAGAGAGAGTGAGACAGTGAGAGGGAGACAGAGAGAGGGATACAGTGAGAGTGAGACAGAGAGAGTGGGACAGAGAGAGTGGGACAGTGAGAGTGAGACAGTGAGAGGGAGACAGAGAGAGGGAGACAGAGAGAGTGAGACAGAGAGAGTGGGACAGTGAGAGTGAGACAGAGAGAGTGGGACAGAGAGAGTGGGACAGTGAGAGTGAGACAGTGAGAGGGAGACAGAGAGAGGGAGACAGTGAGACAGTGAGAGGGTACAGAGAGAGTGAGACATAGAGAGTGGGACAGTGAGAGTGAGACAGAGAGAGTGAGACAGTGAGAGTGAGACAGAGAGAGGGAGACAGAGAGACAGTGAGAGTGAGACAGTGAGAGGGAGACAGAGAGAGTGAGACAGAGAGAGTGGGACAGAGAGAGTGGGACAGTGAGAGTGAGACAGAGAGAGTGAGACAGTGAGAGTGAGGCAGAGAGAGGGAGGGAGACAGAGAGAGTGAGACAGTGAGAGTGAGACAGAGAGAGGGAGACAGACAGAGTGGGACAGTGAGAGTGAGACAGTGAGAGGGAGACAGAGAGAGGGAGACAGTGAGAGTGAGACAGAGAGAGTGAAACAGAGAGAGTGGGACAGTGAGAGTGAGACAGTGAGAGGGAGACAGTGAGAGTGAGACAGAGAGAGTGAAACAGAGAGAGTGGGACAGTGAGAGTGAGACAGTGAGAGGGAGACAGAGAGAGGGACACAGTGAGTGTGAGACAGTGAGAGGGAGTCAGAGAGAGGGAGACAGTGAGAGGGAGACAGAGAGAGTGAGACAGAGAGAGTGGGACAGTGAGAGTGAGACAGTGAGAGTGGGACAGTGACACAGGAGGAAAGTGGCCGTTTCTCAATCTCGAGGAAACTGATTTCCAAGCCAATATTTCAAGGATACTACGTCATTCAGTGCTGCCGAAGGACTGTTCCAATCTCCAGCATACTTGGAATTCCACCGAGGCTGCGTCCTTGATTTGGGGGTAATTTCGAGGCTGCACATGGGTAGACTTTGCGTCCTTCAAATCCCCACAATGCTTTGCGCACGGACCAATTTCCCCAAATCTGTGGCGGAAAATGTAAGGCGGGGCCTCTCATGTGACGCACCCCTGCACACTTGCTCGCCTGTTCCACTCACACTGTTTTGATGTGCTATTTTTAGGCATATATTATGGGTCTTTTTTTAATTTCCTGCTTCTTCACACACATGCTCTCCAGTACAGGTTAGCTCTGAGTGTTAGCGATGCTAATGTAAACAAAGACCATATTACGTGTGTGTGTGTGTGTGTGTGTGTGTGTGTGTGTGTGTGTGTGTGTGTGTGTGTGTGTGTGTGTGTGTGTGTGTTACCGAGGGGGTTGTTGGGTTTGAATGGAGGCAGTTTGATGTGGATAGAGACGGAGGGAGACTGAGAGCGGGATCTTTTTGCTTCCGGACCGACGGGCTCTTCCCTCCGTTTACTCACAGCTACAGAGACGCAGAAACAAACAATATAGAAGTCATTTGAGTCCACACAAAAACAGATATTCAATTTAAAATAAAAAACATACTCAAACAGAGAGAGAGAGAGACAGAGACAGGGAGAGGGAAAGAGAGACAGAGAAAGAGAGAGACAGAGAAAGAGAGAGACAGAGACAGAGAGAGAGAGAGAAAGACAGAGAAAGACAGAGAGAAAGAGAGAGAGAGAAAGAGAAAGACAGAGAAAGACAGAGAGAAAGAGAGAGAGAGAAAGAGAGAGACAGAGAAAGAGAGACAGGGAGAGAGAAAGAGAGACAGAGAAAGAGAGAGAGAAAAGAGAGACAGGGAGAGAGAGAGAGAGAGACAGAGAAAGACAGAGAGAGACAGAGAGAGAGAGAGACAGAGACAGAGACAGAGAGAGAGAAAGAGACAGAGAGAGACAGAGAAAGACAGAGAGAGAGAGACAGGGAGAGAGAGAGAGAGACAGAGAGAGAGAAAGAGACAGAGAAAGAGAGAGAGAGAGATGCAATGCTTAGTTGATCAGAAGAAATTAGTAAGCAAGTATTTTGCAGCAATGTTGATACTTTTTGAGCTAAAATGCCAAAAAAATACACTAGTTTCAGCTCAAATGTGATCATTTGCTGCCTTTCTATATTATCTATGATAAGAAATAACATTGGTCAGTTTTTCAGTAATCATTAATGGAAATAATGTTTATTTTGCAATTGTATCGACTTATTATTCATATTTCTAATAGCTGCTCCAGGTCAGAGATAAGACGTTAACTCAATGTTCCTGACAATCAAACATTTAAAGACATTAACTTAACTTGCACATTTTAAAGACTAGCTTGTATTTTCTCAACTATTCACTAGAAAAAATACAAGTTTATGATAGGGCTGTGCGATTATTTTGGTCAATAATTGATATCACGATTATTAAAAAACGATTATCCATTTACTTTGAAAACATCCATTTATTGAAAAAATAAAATGGGAACAGTGTTTTTAACAGTTGATTACCCTGAACTTTAGAATTCAACTGAAAAACCAAGAAAAAATTATAAGAAAAAAGAAAAAAATTATAATCGTTGAATTTTTTTGTTTTCGTAATCGTTGCGAGCCAAAATCGTAATCGAGATTAAAATACGATGAATTGCACAGCCCTAGTTTATGCTTAAACTAAAGTCCTTGTTAGTCCATGTTCCTTCAGCTCTTTGTACCTTTAAAGTCCGGTTTGCTCCGCTCTTCCTCCTCCTCCTCTTCATCATGCCCTTCCTCCACACACTCCTCCAGACTCTGGTCCTCAGGGGGCCCCTCGGTCAGATCCTGCCCAGGAGAAGAAGCAGCCTCGATGTGGGGGACAATCGCAGCTTCCCCCTCCTCCTCCTCCTCTGTCTGCTGGAGGTCACATGACAGCTCAGCGTCTCTGTCCAATGAGGAGACATCGAGGGGAGCAGGAGGCGGGACATCCGACACCGCTTCTTCTGCTTCATCTTCTTCATCATCTTCTGCGGTTACGTTTCTCCCTCTGGTGGATTTTCTCGCTGTGGTTAAAAGATAAGAACTCCGTTAAGCACACAAAGACACTTCTAGTTTCAGAGAATAGAGTCGTTAAGTGTGTGTGGTCAAATATAAAAAATGTTGTTAAACCACTTGGCTAATGTCTCCTATAAATGACAAGCCAATAGAACATCATTTCAATACAAAATTAAAACCTTCGATATTTATATTTGAACAAATAACTGCAATAATAATGTTTGTGTGTGTGTGTGTGTGTGTGTGTGTGTGTGTGTGTGTGTGTGTGTGTGTGTGTGTGTGTGTGTGTGTGTGGACCCTCTTAGGGTATATTTATACATAGAAGGATAGTGCAAATAAAAAGGCATACAAATAGAGTAACTTAGTAAGAGGTCTTGGGAGTCGGGAGGCCTGATAATTTATTCCGGCGAATTACTCAGACCTACTAATTGACCTAACAGAAGTTATTGAGTCTATGTAAGTTTACTACTTGGCTCAGATCCACCAACGTCAGCAAGATCTCACCTCTATTAACTCCTGAAGAACCAGGTTCAATGAACTGCCGTTTCAATTCAGACGACCCTCTAAAGAGTAATGAGGTGTGGCCCTACCTAAGTGTGAGTGTGGCAGTGTGCAATCTTACCTTTGAAGCAGGAGAGGAGAGCGCAGATGTCTTTTAAGTTGTCCCAATCCAAATGGTGGGATCAGTTTATTTGAAGTAAAATTGGTCTACACTTATACAGGGTTTCTACCTTCTCTCGTTACAACATGACAATCCTACAAAACATATCATGCGGTGGTCATGTTCTAATATGAAACCTCAATTCACAGTTTTACATTTATTACACTAAATAGTAACTTCAACTGCCCAATTCAGTTGTGACTTTTAAAATCGTCCGACAGAATTTAGAGGCATCTCCTCATAAATGACCGGTGATAATAAAAAGCAAATTCAAAGTTTCATTCAACAAATTACTCAGCATTCAATAAACCCGATTTAATTAAGACATTAAAGTCTTCCGACATAATCCAAAGGAATCCCCTCACGGATCGAAGGTGCTATACATTCACACCTAGAGTCCGACAGCATTCAGAGGCAGTTCCTCGTAAATGGTCAGTGGAATCTAACAGCGTTCAACAAATACATTTGAGTGATATTTACCAAGTTGGAGAGAACCTTACCGAGGCGAGAGCGTACCAGGAGAGAGCTACCAGGGGGAAAACCCCCCTCTCTCGAGTTTGCTCCCTCTCAGCTAGTGTTTTTATGCTCGAAACAGGACAGAAAAACCCAAAGACACCTCCTCCATACACATATTTGTGGAAACTGGGCATGGCCTCTGATGTACAGGACTGGACATGACCAGACATATTCTATGGCTATGGCATAAGACTCACCTTCCCATGTTTGTGTAAAAAGGGCATGACCTCTAGTGTGCAGGACTGGAAAATATTATTCTCGACTACGGCATAAACAACTTTTTGGGGCCTTAGTATTTCTCCAAAAAGTCAGGAGCCCCCCTCCCTGTGTACTGCTGTGAGGGAAGAGAGAAGAAACTGTCTCCTCTCTCTTATCAGTGACACCCATAAACCATAATAGGCCTCACACACTCAACTTAACAAACCACTTGTGTTTTGTTTATACTGTAAATATAGAAAATCATAAAATATGAAGCATTTTCATTTTGGGTTATACAAGAATATAATTGATTATATTTGATTATAACTAACTTTCGTTTTAATTATTCAACCTAATATGGAGATCTCAACACCCTCTTTTTAAAACGCAAAGTTATCAAAAACAGATACAATTGTAAAAATGCATACATACGAAAAACTTCAAGCATCAATAACATGAAAAGTTCTTCAGTATGTGGAATAAGGATTTTCTCCACTGAATCCAAACTAGTGTTCACCGAAAATATAGTAGCTCACTGGAATGTTGTCACAGAGGTCAGGCACCAGAGTAAAAAGAGCCCATGGGCCGTCATGATGATGGTAGATGTGTGTGAGTACTCCCACTCTGCCTGATATCTGCAAGGACGGTGGGCCGTTCACTTGTTTCAACGTAGACTCCACTATCCATGTTGCAACCTGTTGTAAATCCTTGACCAGGACCATGGCGGGGTTGCTGTTCTTTCCTGGACGACACCTCCAAACGAAAGGCCAGATACCTGAATCGGCCATGCCGTTATCAGGTAGTCGTCGTCCTTGTTGGGAAATCCACTGCAATCTGAGTGGTTTAGTGTGTAGAAACGCAGTCTGTCCCACAGAACTGGAAGGAACTTCAGCCTCCGCTGGCAGGGGTACAGGTGACTCAGCCGCTGATTCATGCTGCACAGGTTTGCTGGGTCCAGGAGTCAGCTTCCCTGGAAATACTGTGACTGAAGCAGTCCCGCTGGACAGGTTAATATCCTCTTGGTAGATTCCTGAGGTTTTAAACTCAACAATATAGTATACATTTGTTCTCTGATTCATAACGAGTTGTTTCAGTTGAAAGAACTTCCCCAAGAATTTCTTCAAGGGGTGCTTGTGTTCCATATTGCTCTGGAATCTCTATAGACAGCAGGGTGATTGTTTCTTCCTCTTACTCAGATGGCATCTAACGGCAGAAAGCACAGGGCCATATTTTACTCTTATCAGTTTAACGACCTGACAGCACTACACCTCCATGCTGTGTGAAAATCAGCAAAAAAAGGGGAGAGATGTGTTCAAAAAAATCTAATTTTAATGAATATTGCTGTAGGGTGCAGGCATATAACAATTTAAAATAACTGAAGAGAAGAATAAAATGTAAAATAAAAAACAATGAGAGAAATAATATAAAGGTTCTTTTGCCATTTCCTCTTTGATTTTGAGGTTTTCTCCATTCAAGGTCTAATGATCCATATGCGAACAATAGACAGTTTTGTTTTGCCATCTTATACATAAAGTACTAAAGATTCTAACAGTTCTAATATTAAATCCTTTGCAATTGAGATATTGCTTGTTACTAAGATTTAAATTCCCTCTTTTGCTCTATAAAATATCTCTTGGTACAAAACTTACCAAGACAAATTCTAAATTATTGCGGGAGTTTTGTGGGATCTTCATCCAACAATTCACTCAGCCAGCATTCAACAAATACATTTGAGTGATATTTACCAAGTTTGAGAGAACCTTACCGAGGCGAGAGCGTACCAGGGGCCTCATGTATAACGCCGTGCGTAGGATTCACGTGGGAAGGTTGCTTACGTAGTAGAAATCCGAAAAATAGGTCCATACATTTTCCGCCACTTCCCGATTCACCAAACATTGCGTACCGGCGAGGAAAGTGCGTACAGCACTTCCTACGCCGGTTTCCCTTTATAAATCACAACCGACTCGAAATGCGGTGCAGCTTTTGCGGGCTTCACGTAACGCCCATATTTGCCTATAAATAGTAAAAGAAACGCCCATTCATTCATTCATTCTGACTGACTGCATGAAGAAGATCGCAGGAAATGATGACAGAACAGCTAAAAAAGACATCTCACACCGTGTCAGATTCTGGTTATTTTGGGGAGGTCGAGATAAATCATATTGTTTGGTGGATGCAGTTTGAACAGGGGAGCAGCATGGAGGTCGGATCGTCACCAAAATAAATAAATAAGTGGTCCGAAAAAGGTTAATGACAAAAAGAATACACATAGCCTTCCTCAGGCAGTGTGTTTGTACCGGGGACAGGAGACCCCCCCTTGATGAGAGACTGTAAGAAATGATCAGGGAATCCCTCCGGAGTGGAGTCATGACGACTGGATCTGAATTATTTGTTTGTATTTGGTGGTTTGTGTCCCAGCTGTCGATCAGCTGTGCACAGCCTCTCCACTGCAGCCTACCAAGGCTAACCCTTATTTATGGTATTATTTCCACACATTTCTCTCCATTCTTCCTTCTGCCAACGGTGTCGCAGTTTCTCGTCTCTCCCGTTTTTGTGCTTAGTGCGTACGCATGGGTTAGAGTTTGCGTGGAGGACCGCACGTTTTCCCGTCAAGTTAGTATTTTATAAATCGCGTAGAAACTGGCGTACGCCATTTTTTGAGCGTATATCGCTATATAAATGAGGCCCCAGGAGAGAGCTACCAGGGGGAAAACCCCCCTCTCTCGAGTTTGCTCCCTCTCAGCTAGTGTTTTTATGCTCGAAACAGGACAGAAAAACCCAAAGACACCTCCTCCATACACATATTTGTGGAAACTGGGCATGGCCTCTGATGTACAGGACTGGACATGACCAGACATATTCTATGGCTATGGCATAAGACTCACCTTCCCATGTTTGTGTAAAAAGGGCATGACCTCTAGTGTGCAGGACTGGAAAATATTATTCTCGGCTACGGCATAAACAACTTTTTGGGGCCTTAGTATTTCTCCAAAAAGTCAGGAGCCCCCCTCCCTGTGTACTGCTGTGAGGGAAGAGAGAAGAAACTGTCTCCTCTCTCTTATCAGTGACACCCATAAACCATAATAGGCCTCACACACTCAACAAACCACTTGTGTTTTGTTTATACTGTAAATATAGAAAATCATAAAATATGAAGCATTTTCATTTTGGGTTATACAAGAATATAATTGATTATAACTAACTTTCGTTTTAAGTATTCAACCTAATATGGAGATCTCAACAGAGCCAAGCACACAGGAATAAAATGAAATCAAATAGGTTCACATACATGGTAAAACATATGTCTGTGTGTGTGTGTGTGTGTGTGTGTGTGTGTGTGTGTGTGTGTGTATTACCGGGGGTTTGTCTGGCTCTCTTCTTGGCTGGTGTTCTTGTCTTGGTTTTAATCGCCTCCTTCTCCTCCTCTTCCTCCTCCCCCACCTCGTCTACCGTCACGAAGTTTGCACTTTCCTCTAAAATTGGACATAAAACATTTACGCACATTAGATAATGAAACCTTCTATCGTCTTCCTATGTTGAATTTAATTTATGTGTTGGGCCGTTTGTGCTAAATACACACCTGGGTCGTCATCATGTTTGCGTTTGGCAGGAATGGACGCATCTTCCTCCTGCTTCTCCTCATCATCGTTGTCGACAGCTTCGTCTAAAGTCACCGACGTCTGAAAACCGAGACACGACAATCTGTAGCGTCTGTGTTCGTACTAGGGATGGGAACGATTATTCGAATATTCTAAATTATTCAGGTATTCGAATATGACTTTTGAATATTTTTATTGTAATGTTTTTGGGAGGGGTGCCTAAGTTGATTACATATGATCAAATGGAATAATTCAATGTATACGACAGTGCCATAGCTAAATGTATTAGGTGAGGTCTAAAGGTGTGTTTTGCTCCGCTCACTGGTCCCTCACAGCGGGCAGAGCTGCAGGTGCTGATCTCTCTTGCGTCCGGTTATACTTCACTCGCGTTTATGTCCAAATCCATCAGTTCTAGCTAATGATATGGCTGCTGCCCCTCCCTACACGCAGATCACGCAGACTCAAACCTCATCTTATGCCCAAATTCCAGCTGAGAGGGTCTCATATTGCTCATATTCTTAAACAAGAATGAGTATTGAATAGCTGCATTCTGTGCATAGGCCCCGTTACAGGTTGTTGATCTCTGTTGTCACGGGTTACCTTACCCTAACCCGTTATGTTGTTCGTGTATGATCCCTCTTTCATTTAAAAACAAAGTTATGTTTTAAGCATGAAAGCTGTAGGCCTATAGCTCAACTGTTCAAACTGTGATCACCAGTTCAATACATTTGACAAATTCGACTTGGTTTCTAAACTTATTTGAACATGTATTTATTTTTTTAAATTAAAACTTTTTTTTGGTCAATTTTTCCCACTTTTTAAAAAAAAAATTATAGGATATGTACATTTCGGTTAACCGTTTAATTTGGGGGTCGAATATTCGAATATACATTTGCTTTAAAATTCCCATCCCTAGTTCGTACAGCTGTAGTTTATGTTTCTCTAAATGTTCGCTTCCCTGGGAGAAAAAAAAAAATCATAAATGTTGATTTTTTTTTTACCTCTGGCTTTAAGAAGTCTTCTGATTGGTCCTCCTGGCGCAGTGGGCGGGGTCTCTGGTGTGTTTGGCTCCACCTCCTCTACGAACTCATCCAGAGTGACGAGTGCCTGCAGCTCTCCCTCGCCCACCTCATCTGCTCCCACCTCATCCAGAGTCACCAGCTCTTCCTCCTCCTTCGTCCTCCTCGCTCTTCCTCCTCCTCCTCTGCTGCTGTTGCTATGGCTCCTCCTCTCTCTCTCCTCCCTCTCCTCTCTCCTCCTCTCCTTGCTCCTCCTTTCCTCCCTCTCCTTGCTCCTCCTCTCCTCGCTCCTCCTCTCCTCTCTCTCCTTGCTCCTCCTCTCCTCTCTCTCCTTGCTCCTCCTCTCCTCCTTCTCCTTGCTCCTCCTCTCCTCCTTCTCCTTTGAGATCTGCCTCTCTTTGGCGGCCACATGTCGCCTCCTCAGCTCTTCCTCCTCGGCGTGGTCGTCGGGGTAATCCTCCTCCTCATCGCTCACCTCGTCCAGACCCGTTATGTCTTTCTCCGGGGGGTCTTCTTCATTAGTCTTTTCAAATGTAGCGGCATCACTCTGGGATTCAGTCGTTGGATTCTCCTCCACTTTTTCAGCCGTTTCTTCCAGAGAATCCACGATCTGATACATAGGCTCCTCCTCCTCCTCGTCTTTGGATGGTCTTTCCTCTGTTTGTTTCTCGTTGTTTTCACACGTCTCGTCTATCGTCTCGTCCTCCACAGAATCGAGGATCTGGTACGTCGTCGTTGTTTCTTCAGCAGCTGCCTCTTTCTCGGCTTTCTTCATCGCTTTAGTCATTTTCTTTGGTCTTCCTCGTTTTCCTTTTGGTTTTGTAGCGGGCGGTTCGTCCTTAGCAACCTCTTCCTTCTCTTCTGCTAAGGTAGCATCCTCTCCTACAGCCACGTTACTCTTCTTCGGTGGTGTGCTAGGGTTCCTCTTCCTTGCTGGCGTGTCTCTCTTAGCCGATCTTCCTCTCGTTCCTCTGGTAGATCGAGTTGCTGTCGGTTCATCGCCGGCATCCTCCACGGAGTCTATGACCTCGTACGTAGTCTCCTCAGACACTTCTGTCTCCTTCTTTCCTCTTGCACTCCGTCTTCTACCAGATTGTTCTGAGCCGGCGGCGACATCTTGAACTGGTTTATGTTCAACCGAATCGATTATCTCATACACAACGTCCTCCGCGATGGCGTCTTTGGTTGAGGGAACACTCTTCGTCGATGCTTTATCGTCTTTCCTCGCCTCCCCTCTCCCGTTTCTTCTCCCCGTGTTGTCCGTCGGCTGATCTTCAACAGAATCAATCACCCGATACGTCGCTTCCTCCTCCTCCACGGACTCCATTTCTTCTTTAGGCATCAGATCACCGGGGGTTTCCAGATCTTCTGTCGCCGTCTGATCGCCTATAGAGTCTAAAATCTCAAAGGTTTCCAATCCAGCATCTCCGCTTTCAAGATCTTTGTCAGGAAGGGTGTGGACTTCTTTACTCTTCATCTCTTCTCCCATTTGCACAGAAGCTTCTTCACTTCCTGTATTTACATTATTAGCTTCTTGATCTTTAATAGATTTGTCAGATTTGTCGTCCTCGCACAGTTTCTCTACGGTGGAGCTTTCTTGTTCACCTGTAGCCGTTTGGTCTTCGGTCACTTCCATTCCCTGTGCGCGGGCTTTGCCTTCATCTCCAAATGTGTCCAGAACCTGAAAGCTCTGCTCCTTCTCTCCCTCGGGGTCAGTCGGTTTGGCTTCGGATCTACCATCTTGTTCCCCACCCTCCTTGCTTTTCTTATCCTCCTCCACCTCTGCGCTTGACTCTAACCCTTGTTCCCGCAGAGGTGGACGCATCTCTGATGATGTTTCCATTTCTGTCTCTGACTCAACAGTTTTTGCAGGAACGTCCTCTGCTGACACCTTGTGGTCGGACGTTGCCACTGCGCTCCGATTGTCTTTCGCCACCTCTCTCTCTGAATGAGTCTCCTTTGAAGCCTCGACAGTTGCTGCAGATGAACGGGAGCCAGATGACGCGGTTTCTGATGCTTTGGATGGAGATTTAGTTTTGCTCCGTTGCGTTTTCTGACCAGGGGAAGAAGGGGAGGTCTTACTGGAACTGGCAGAGGATTTAGTGGGAGATTTAGTGGGCTCTGATGAGGATTGTTTTGACTTTTTCGGTGACTCGGAGCGATAAGAGCTTGGGCCTCTCGTCGACCTGGATGACGAAGAGGAGGAAATGGCAGATCTTTTGCCGTCTTTTGAATACCGCGATGAAGAGTGTCTGTCGGCGGAGCTGTGCCTCTCTCTCCTGGCTCTCGAAGACGTCCTGGAGGAGGAGGAGCCGTGAGTTCGGTGACTGGAAGATGGAGTGTCATCGTCGCGGACTTCATCCACCGTCACAAACTCATCTATGTCCAAATTATCCTCATCAAAACCATCGCAGTCTGACGCAGGAATGTCACTGGTTAAATAATCCTGAGGCGGCGAAGACAAAGGGAGGATCAGAAAGTGACACAAGGGATCAAATAGTGTACTTCAAGAGAAATGTATGCAATTTAATACATGTTGGAGCCATTCTTTTATTGCATAGGATTGTTTCATATCTCATCTCCTGTCTATATGAAAGGTTAGGTAAAGCAAAAAAGGTCCGAGGTGTTTGAGGGAATAAAATACAACAACGTTTTGTTTACCTCTCTCCGTGGTGCTTTGCCATCCGATTCATGTCCAGAAGTTCCTCTGCTTTTGCTGTGGCTCTGAGAAAATACACATTTATTTAAACATTAAAAGGTAGGGTAGGTAAGAATGGAGAAACCAGCTCGAGTGCACTAGAATTTGAAAGTACACAAGCGGAAAAAATCTGTCCCTTCCTTCAGACTTCCTTACAGAGCCCCTCCTCCAACACACACGAAACATTAGCTAGCACTAGTGTTTTGCAGTTGCTAGCAGCTTATTGGGATGTTATGCTGGATAGACAGGCATTGTTTTGATATAATACATTAAGCATTATTGTTAGTTAAGCATGTCAGCCTGCAGCCCCACTTCTTGTCTCTCTCTCTAACTCATTGCAGATGGCTGCACTAAAGAAAAGGAAACCAGTTGTTAGATATTTAAAAGTTCATTAAACATAATATATGCTTCAATGTAGGGCTGTGCAATTAATCGTATTTTAATCGCGATTACGATTATGGCTTGCGACGATTATGAAAACAGCATAATTGACTAAATACGATTATTTTGCTGGGTGCGCTTTCGCCTCTCCCTAAAAGCCCACTCGGCCACGTGGGAGTGAAATGTGTTGTGAGTGTTCAGCGCGAGCGAAGATGTCAGAACAAGAGCAGCAACTCGTTAAAAAGAAGGGTACAACTATTTCCACTATTTGGAAGTACTTTGCCATTACATTTCACATCGCTAAAGATATGTGCCCAGTTAGCACTGTTAGCAACCAGGGCTTTAAGCAACTTGTCAACACGTTGGACAAGCGTTACGCGATGCCGTCTCGGTATTATTTCAGCAGGTCTGCGCTGCCTGCACTATATGACAAATGCCGTGGGGAAGTTGAGAGAGATGTGGCTTCAGCTGACTACTTTGCGACCACAACAGACCTATGGTCTAGCCCAGGGGTGCCCAACCAGTCGATCGCGAGATGTGTCTAAAAATAGAACAACAATATTCTGTTTTATCGTTAATGTCCTGTAACATAATCTTACGTAAAAATCTTTAAGAGATGACATGAGCAGCCCTACCAGCATTTGCCATGGTGGCCTAAATATTTTTATTTGGTCTTAAATTGTCGTTCAACATTTATTTCCTGTTACTTCTGGACCATGACGGTGGGCCAGCCTTCAACGTTTAACTGAGTGGAATATGTGGAATATGTTTTACCAAAATGTTGGCTATATGTTAAGGAGTGTTCAGTAGGTTGTGACAGTGCACTGCAACATATTTGATTTAATTTATTTTGGTCTAATTTATTTTTATTTATCATATTAATAATATATGTTTAGTATGATTTTGGAAGTGTGCTCCAACATATTTGTTGATCTTGTTTATTGGTAAAATATTATTTGTTTAAAGTTCAATAAATGGTCAATGAATAATCGTCAAAATAATCGTGATTATGATTTTTGCCATAATCGCACAGCCCTACTTCAATGCATTTCAAAGAAGTTGTGTTGGAGTTTATGTTATTCTACATTTTGACACCAAGATTTTTTGATTTGACTGCAAATGTATATCGGTTCCAAATATCGGTTATCGGTCTCCTTGATTACTAATAATCGGTATCGGCCTTGAAAAAGCCATATCGGTCGATCCCTAATATATATATATATATATATAGGATATACATATTTGTATTATTGTATTAGGAATTGTTAGAAACGTTATATTGATCTCTCTGTCTGTACAAACACACAGAAAAATGGACATTAAAGTTGACTTTATTATTACCCGTTATTTTTAAATGAAATGTGGCTTTAAGGTAATTTACAACATCTGTCCGGGGTTTACAGATGAAATGTCGCCTCTTGGTTAGCTCTGGCACATTTACAGAAATGTTTATGACTGCGCACTGTCCCCATTAAATAAATAGAAATACAATAAGATTAAACTACAGTTCACAGAGTTCATACACTTTTTCCACAAATGATTTTCCATGACCGTTAACTAATTTTCCATGACCAAAAAATTACTCTTTCTCAGTCCTACCACTGAAAATAGTTTATGTTAAAGGTCTCCTATTGTGCAAAATCCACTTGTTCATGTCTCTTCTACATCAACATGTGTCCCCTCTTCTTCATGTCTCTTCTACATCAACATGTGTCCCCTCTTCTTCATGTCTCTTCTACATCAACATGTGTCCCCTCTTCTTCATGTCTCTTCTACATCAACATGTGTCCCCTCTTCTTCATGTCTCTTCTACATCAACATGTGTCCCCTCTTCTTCATGTCTCTTCTACATCAACATGTGTCCCCTCTTCTTCATGTCTCTTCTACATCAACATGTGTCCACTCTTCTTCATGTCTCTTCTACATCAACATGTGTCCCCTCTTCTTCATGTCTCCTCTACATCAACATGTGTCCACTCTTCTTCATGTCTCTTCTACATCAACATGTGTCCCCTCTTCTTCATGTCTCTTCTACATCAACATGTGTCCCTCTTCTCCATGTCTCTTCTACATCAACATGTGTCCCCTCTTCTTCATGTCTCTTCTTCATCAACATGTGTCCACTCTTCTTCATGTCTCTTCTACATCAACATGTGTCCCCTCTTCTTCATGTCTCTTCTACATCAACATGTGTCCCCTCTTCTTCATGTCTCTTCTTCATCAACATGTTGTCCCCTCTTCTTCATGTCTCTTCTCATCAATGTCCTCTTCTACATCAACATGTGTCCCCTCTTCTTCATGTCTCTTCTTCATCAACATGTGTCCCCTCTTCTTCATGTCTCTTCTACATCAACATGTGTCCCCTCTTCTTCATGTCTCTTCTTCATCAACATGTGTCCCCTCTTCTTCATGTCTCTTCTTCATCAACATGTGTCCCCTCTTCTTCATGTCTCTTCTACATCAACATGTGTCCCCTCTTCTTCATGTCTCTTCTTCATCAACATGTGTCCCCTCTTCTTCATGTCTCTTCTACATCAACATGTGTCCCCTCTTCTTCATGTCTCTTCTACATCAACATGTGTCCCCTCTTCTTCATGTCTCCTCTACATCAACATGTGTCCCCTCTTCTTCATGTCTCTTCTACATCAACATGTGTCCCCTCTTCTTCATGTCTCTTCTTCATCAACATGTGTCCCCTCTTCTTCATGTCTCTTCTACATCAACATGTGTCCCCTCTTCTTCATGTCTCTTCTACATCAACATGTGTCCCCTCTTCTTCATGTCTCTTCTTCATAACATGTGTCCCCTCTTCTTCATGTCTCTTCTACATCAACATGTGTCCCCTCTTCTTCATGTCTCTTCTTCATCAACATGTGTCCCCTCTTCTTCATGTCTCCTCTACATCAACATGTGTCCCCTCTTCTTCATGTCTCTTCTTACATCAACATGTGTCCCCTCTCTTCATGTCTCTTCTACATCAACATGTGTCCCCTCTTCTTCATGTCTCTTCTACATCAACATGTGTCCCCCTCTTCTTCATGTCTCCTCTACATCAACATGTGTCCACTCTTCTTCATGTCTCTTCTACATCAACATTGTGTCCCCTCTTCTTCATGTCTCTTCTTCATCAACATGTGTCCCCCTCTACATCAACATGTGTCCCCTCTTCTTCATGTCCTCTCTACATCAACATGTGTCCCCTCTTCTTCATGTCTCTTCTTCACTCAACATGTGTCCCCTCTTCTTCATGTCTCTTCTACATCAACATGTGTCCCCTCTTCTTCATGTCTCTTCTTCATCAACATGTGTCCCCTCTTCTTCATGTCTCTTCTACATCAACATGTGTCCCCTCTTCTTCATGTCTCTTCTACATCAACATGTGTCCCCTCTTCTTCATGTCTCTTCTACATCAACATGTGTCCCCTCTTCTTCATGTCTCTTCTACATCAACATGTGTCCCCTCTTCTTCATGTCTCTTCTACATCAACATGTGTCCCCTCTTCTTCATGTCTCTTCTACATCAACATGTGTCCCCTCTTCTTCATGTCTCTTCTACATCAACATGTGTCCCCTCTTCTTCATGTCTCTTCTACATCAACATGTGTCCCCTCTTCTTCATGTCTCTTCTACATCAACATGTGTCCCCTCTTCTTCATGTCTCTTCTACATCAACATGTGTCCCCTCTTCTTCATGTCTCTTCTTCATCAACATGTGTCCCCTCTTCTTCATGTCTCTTCTACATCAACATGTGTCCCCTCTTCTTCATGTCTCTTCTACATCAACATGTGTCCCCTCTTCTCCATGTCTCTTCTACATCAACATGTGTCCCCTCTTCTTCATGTCTCTTCTACATCAACATGTGTCCCCTCTTCTCCATGTCTCTTCTACATCAACATGTGTCCCCTCTTCTTCATGTCTCTTCTACATCAACATGTGTCCCCTCTTCTTCATGTCTCTTCTACATCAACATGTGTCCCCTCTGTGGAAAGAGACTCTGAAAGTTTCAGGAACAAAGATTCTCTCTCTTTTTGATCCATTTCTATAAAAACCTGTCTGAAAATGAGCTGATCAGATTTTGGCCACTTTATGATGTCATAACGATGTTTTGTCTTGTGTAATCATTAGCCAATCAGCAACCAAGGTAAACCCCCCCACCTTATCACCTGAATCTCCTCCTAGAGCACCATTGTGTTCTTTTGAACCAAATCTCTCTCAGAGGGGCGTGGGGAGGGGCTCCTTATTTTCATCTAAAGTCAGACAGAGAATCAGCTCTTTTGAAACAGGGCTGAAACAGAGGGGATTATGGGTAATGCTGCAATGATCTGTTTGGGGGTTTCGGCCAATCAGAAACATGTTCTGTATATATCTGAGACCTATACTATATTGATGAAAAACAGTATAATAGGGGACCTTTAACATGGAACAGAAAAATAAAACAAATAGTAGCTACAGGCTGAAGCAACTGTAGACTAAAGGGCATGATTGTAAACATCTCTAACCAGCAAAATACCTCGACAGTTAAATGCCATTTTACGTTTCATTACTATACGATACAGTATTTATTATCATTATAGTATTGCTATTTCGGCGATTAGATAAAATATAAATTATATTTGTTGCAACTTTAGTTACATTTCCCAAAATATTGTTTTCCATAACTTTTCCAGGGTCTAGAATTGCATTTTGAATTGCCATTACTTTTCGAACCCTGACTTCAGTTAAATGGCGGCCTCACCTTCTTCTCCTCGCTCTGGGAGCGGCAGGCCCGGCTGAGTTGTTGGTTACGGACGGCTGCCGTGAGAACCTGGAAAACATCCGTGGTGATCGTAGGAAGATCTTCGCTCGGCTTGGTTTCTGTTTCTGAGGAGGCCGGACTGAGAGCAGCCTCCTCTGCCTTCACTCCATCTTCTTTAAACTCTGAAAGAACCACAGAGTCCGTGTTGATGTCACCTCCTGGTTTCTCGCTGTCCTCCTTCTTTTGTTCCTCGCTGGATCCTTCAAGGACTTGCAGAGCGGCTTCAGGAAGAGAAGAGTGGGATTCACCTTTTGCATTCCTGGAGCGGGTCGAGCGTCGGACGTTTTTTCTGGCCTCATTTGTAAACGGCAGATGCTGTTTTAGGGGGTCCAGTCTAAAATGACAAACAAAATGGGTTTTGAGTTGTTAGAACTTATAACTAGACTTTGCTTCACACTGTACATTTAGGCCCCGGCCACACGGAGACGAAAACGAACCGAAGTCGATATCAAAAAAGCATTTCGTCCACACGGAATCGGCTCAAGAAACGTGTCCGTCCACACGAGACCGCTCGACCCACTGGAGACGCTGTAGTACATATTTCGGGCCTGTAAGTGGCGCTGTACTTCCGCCACAAAATACACCAAAAGCAGCGAATAAGACCCCCCGAGCATGGTTGCCCTTCTGGTTATTCTCCGTGGTGGATTTAGCAACATGTAGTTCTCCATGTCCACTTGTTGCTGATGGTTGTGGTCGAGGAGCAGTAGATTTTGCACTAACATCTATAGCATGGTCAGTAGCGTCTGGAGCACAAACGCAACCCTGTGATACGCCGTTGTTGTTGTTGGCGAAACCATGGATGAATAATAAGAACTGGATACAGCGTGGGAGGCGGGGTCTCGTTCTTCCCTATGAGAGCTGCTCATTGGCGCATGAGGACAAAATGGCCCAACTTTTGAGAGAGCGAAACGTCACAGATTACCCATCATGCCTGGCTGCCAGAGCAGAAGAACCCGTATGTGCGCTCAGAGCATGCGCCCCTTAAGCCCCGCCCCCGGAGCTCCCACTCTCGGCTCAGTAGAATGAATGGAGAGAGAAAATAAATCTAGATTTGGCTTTTAGTGCATTTTACAACGTTAAGGACCGAATGATTATAATAAGGGCTATAACATAGTTCATACTGGGTCGTTTATTTAGTTTAAAAAAAAGTATCCGCTGATTTACAGACGTCTCATTCTCAATGTTAGTCAATGAGAAAAGTTTGTGCGCACTTCCTGAGGGCTTGGGCGAAACACATCAGCAATGACGCGGGTGGCGCGGGAGTGAGCAGCAGAGGTGGGGCTATGGCGCGATCGCTATCAGGAAATGATCGTATAGGGCACATGTGTCAAACTCAAGGCCCGGGGGCCAAATCCGGCCCTTGGTGGATTTAATTTCGGCCCGCAGGATAATTTCTAATTACTATTAGATCTGGCCCGCCGGTATATTGCACGCACACCTTCACTCCATCCTGAGGGTCTCCCAAACATTGATGACCTTGCACCCAAGATGAGATGCCAAGTATCTGAGCTAGCATCACAGAGCAGCACACTGAGTTCAATGGATGCTTCCTTCTGCACTTTCTCTCTCAGGACAACAGGGCATGTTTGGTTTTCTCTTTGAGGGAAATAGTTTTTCTCAAGCTGTTGTTGGCCTGTGGAGAAATGTAATCATAAGAAATGACTCTGGAAAAGCTGCAGATAGAGCCATAAGAAATGAATGCAGCTGATTATGTAATGTTTAATGTTGTTTTTATAGGCAATCATTTAAGCTTTGTTAGTTCCAGGTTTAATATGTGCAATAAGTTCATTTCAATAAGTTCTGCAATAAACATTGAACCAGTCCGGCCCTCGACTAGCACCGATTTTTTTTATTTTGGCCCACTGTGTATTTGAGTTTGACACCCCTGGTATAAGGCGTAGGGTGTTGAAAATAATCGTTTCTACAATGCATTGCGATGCGGACGTGGACGATTCGGTATCGATGCAGTGACGGAAGATGATCGGTTATAGCGTAGTAACGTTGCTTCCTGATTTTCCGGCCGCGGCTTTACTATAACGTTTTTTTTTTCTGTCACTTTAATATCAAATCGGTCGGTGACGCAGAGATCAGGGAACAGACGTGTCAGCGGCACAGCGGCACAGCAACACCAAACACGGAGCAGTCTGCTTTATCCACCAACACAACACCACCAGTCCAGAACCAACAGCAGAAGGACCCGCTCTGAATCACTCCGTGTCGCTGCGGCTCAGAGACACAGGGATTTATGTTTTTCAAAAATAATGTTTTGGTGGATTTAATTAAGTCTTGGATTGCAAAGTATGAATGTCCTCTAGCAATTTACAGACGATATATAAGTGTGTAAAGTTTGTGAAGGCAGGAGGAAAAAAGCTTCCACGATCACCGTCTCCTCTCCTCCAAACCCCGCCCTGAAAATATG